CTCCTGTACCGGCCTGAATATAGACAAACCCAATGGCGTTTGAAATAAATAGGTTATGCTGCATTCCGACATGTTTTGTAAATCTTTACTCTAATATAGACGTTTTATCGGCAGAGTGGAGAGGAAATACCAATTTTGCATTAAAGATATTGTCAATGAAATCTTGTAAAACGAACCAGACGAGTGTGACACCACAGACTGTTTGTGTTTATAATATGCTATATAATTGCCAAACCCTACCTAATTTGCATAATTTTTTTTTAAATATCAAAACCCCTAGCCCTTATTCATTCACATACCAAAAATGAGCAAAATCCGTTGAACCTGAACTGACTAATGGCAATTCCCATTTTTGCCAAAAAATTGCCGTGGCTCGAAAGTACGTCGACTGGCGTGCTTCAAAATAGGACGTTCCATATGGGTGCATAGCAGTAACAACTACACCCAATTTCAAACATGTGGGTCAAAAGTTATCGTTGACCGAAACCAAATGTTGACTGACGGACGGACGGACGGACGGACGGACGTACGACGAACGACGACCCATGGCAATAGCTCAACTTGACGACGTCAAGGTGAGCTAAAAATCAATAGCAAACTAAGCCTGATCTAGTCATGTGTTCCAGGAAAATAACCCCAGCAATAGGCAAACAAATCCCGTTATTCACTGTACACACTACAATTTTGTTCTTCTTCAATAAAAGCCCAATGATGGCGCAACCAACTTTTCGAAAGAGCTACGTAGTTGCCGGTGAACATGACAAGGGTCATTATAAACTAGAAAGGGCAGTTGCCCCGCTAGGTCGCGCTAGGTCAATTAGGGGCCGAGTTATAGAGCAGAAAGGAAATATGGTCAAGGTCAAGGTCAATGTCAAATAAAGGTTGCAGTGACCTGGTTTCGGTACGTGACACACCTTCTCCCCAAGATGTGTAAATATACCAAGTTTGGTCGCGCTAGGTCAATTATGGGCGGAGTTATAGAGCGGAAGGGAAATATGATCAAGGTCAAGGTAAACTAACTGACACCACTAAATTGGTAAAATGTTCCATGCACCTTGAGAAATTCTGAGAAATTACGAGGTTACCATCGCAGAACGCGAACTCCACTCATCCTGACGTCACAAAGCTAATATGTCAACAAACGTGTGCCTTGTACCCCACTACAGTAAGGTGTGTTGCGAGGTGTTAGAACTATTTTGGGCGTGGAATACTTGTTGGATCACTAGCAGATGTACATGAATAAATTTAATGACAGCTGTAGCACTAGCAGGGTTGACACTGAATGATACTGGCTTAGTGAATATGTGGTTGTATCATGTCTCTGACCTCATCATGACGTCAGCCGCTGCTTACTACACATGTACGCGGGCAATCAATTCGCTCTGACAGTTCACATGTACCGTTATATGAAGAAATGAGCATGTACGAAGGTGGCACATAGTGTTAGCCATCGAATACAATTGAAAATAAAAAATCGGTAAAATTTTTCCTAAAACCTTGAGAGTATCCTTAAGATGCACACAACAGTTTAGCACAATTACGGACGTTATACCAATACTGAAATAACTAATGATTCATCGACGATTATTACACTTGACTAGCGTTTAATTTCGAATGTCAGCAACAAAGAAGCGATGCAGTAGAGACATCGCTGCGCATGCAATCTGTTGGAGATCAACAGATAAACGGATAAAATAAACAAACTTTTTAAGTGAATCTATATATATATGTATTTCGTTGATGGGTCTCTTCTACCCTGAGTACATTGAAACCAGGGCGCGCTGAGTGACGGGAGTAAAACGTACGTACTGTCGAGATTGGATAGCCTTCGTACGTGTGGAAACGGCCCTGCATGAGGACGATATCCTGGCCACCTAATTTCCCGAACACCAATCGTCCTGCGTGACCCGGCACTGAAAAGCAAGACAAAGATACATACGTACAGCTTAGCAGCACTCCCGAATATGGACGCATCATCACACAATCAACTAGACAGAGGGCACTCAAAGAGAGTGCATACCTCCGCGAGCGTGTAACATGTATACATGTGTATAACAGCTGGCTCACTGCTGGCTGCTGCTGACTGGACGCCCTAAGGCGAGCTGCTGCTAACTGGACGCCCTAAGGCGAGCTGGTGCTGAATCGATCGCGCCAACGCGTGTAACAT